GAAAAGAGGAGGCAGGAGCCAAGAAGAGGCTCTGGAGGCTTAGAATGCTGGAGTCGCACTCCACCAGCTGGTTACTCTACCAATGAGTGGGTAGTGTTGGCAACTGAAAAAGGGATGATCCGGGGGAAAGAAGGAAGTAGGTAGTTCACTAAGCAGTGACTTGGGATGGCCTGGAAACATCTGAACTCTTGGTGAGGAAGGAGCCCAGTGCCCTTTGAGAGCCTAAGGAGAACCTCCCACAGAGTAAAACACAGAAAAAAGTTTAAATTGTATATTGTCCTGGGGTAAGCATTTATAAGGAAACAGCTTGATTAAATGCCACGGTGGGCATTTTGCACTACTGAAATCCAATGTACCTAGGTAGCAAAGGCTTTGAACGATCCTGTTTTTGAAAACTTGTTTTCTGATACAGTTATGTAAGAGTCCAGTACTATGAAATGCAATAGACCTGGAGAACAGAAGTTTCTAATACAGTTACTTGTGACAAAGCCCCAAATACAGCAGACGTAAAATTACGACATTGGCACCTATGAAGTATGAGGGTAAGATGCTGATACAACAGACCTCTTCCCCTTCTGTTTCCTGCACTCCCCAGCTGCTCCCAATGGTTACACACTTTTAACAGAGTATAATGCAGCAAGGAGGTAATCAGCAGAAATCATGTAGCTGCTCTTGCTGTTTACAAGAAGGATTGCACAAGAGGGAAGAGAGAGGAAGATTACTGACTTCTACTCAGCAGTAACACCTTGTACTGCATCCTATCCCATTTCTGAAGGACAGGGGCAGAAACTGCTTTCCGTGAATTTGGTCTCTTCACAGTTCATCAGCTCCTACCGCTGGTCTCCTAAATTATCTTCTTTATAACAAAATCTAACTTTGAAATTACTCCTGTTACTCCCAGCCAATATGCTTCGACACATTCTGTTCAACTCTGTAGAACCAAATGAGTTTTCTATTAAAAATGGAACTGGTAAGACAAGTAAGGTTATCTGTTCCTAGTATTTGAAACAAATGTCAACTCCAGCCACACCTATAATTTACTGCCAACCTATACACGCAGTAAGTATTTAACCCCCAATCTCTGTTCCTCTGCCTAGGCCTTCTGCAATGTTTTCCACAACTCTAAAATGGTATCATAGGTCCCCCTTCAACCATTAGGTCCCATGTGATATTTCCCCTAATTCCATATGCTGCAAATTTTTTTACAGAAACCTTTCTTAACTAAACTGTATGAAGGTTCAAAGCAATTCTTAAATTACAGTACCTTCAACCAATGGAAAGCAGACATCTGTCAGGAAAGGAAGCCACACAGACTGAGAAAGGAGATACTTGCTGGTGTGTTTTACACGCATTTGTCTTCTCTCCACTCCAGAAATTCACATCAGAAAGAGGCAATTGTGGAAACCAGCAAAAGATATGACTAGTTTCTGCTAGGTGGCACCTCCCATGTGCCATTTGAAATAATGTTCAGGCCAAGTAACTGGAGAAGGTCCTCCATCTTTCCATGTGACTTCTGGGTAGCGCCTGTCAGTGGCAGCTTCTGTGACAGCCCTAGACACTGCCTCTATTAAGTCTGGAGAAGAATCTAATAAGAAGCCACAGCTATTAAAGTCCTCCATCCCAAAGCAAAGTGCAGCTCTGGAAAGCTCATGGGAATCATAATGCTTTCTTTTTGCCTTTTTGGCGGCATTTTTAAAGTTGCCTATATTGCTGTTCTTCCACCCTTCTACTCTATTGAAACAAACTGTGTACTGAAGTGATTTTGCTGTTAACCAATGTTTGCATTACCAGCTACTTTCCAGAAGTCTGAGTAGCAAACTACCTTAGCAGCACCAGCAGACAAAGGTACAGATTGAAAAAATAATGCAAGCCAACTTTAGTCACCTGTCAAAAGCTTCTGTCCTTTTAAGGGACAGAGGCAGACAACTAAGTACACATACTACAATGGCACTATTCAGTCCCAACTAGGGCTCTGGTAGTCTCTCTGATGGGAGCAGAAAATAAACATAATGGCACCTTGACGCTCTCTCTGCACCTTGTGATCTTAGGCTGAAGAGAGGCAGTTAAGGCTAATGCCTCAGTTCTGTGCTTTTTTCACAGCACAGCAAAGCCAACAGCTATGTCTGACTCTCTCCAGGCACAGAGGGAGCTGTGAGAGTTGGCACCTCAACACAACTTTGTTGCAGTCCAGCCCCTTCTGTGCCTACAAAATCCATATTGAGTAGGGTTACAGTAAAATGGAATACAGCCCAGGTAAGAAGAAAACAGAACAGTTTCTTCCTGTGATCATGCTGGTAATGCTGCCATAAATATGGGCTCCATCCTTTTCGTACTGGAACATTTAACTCACAGATCTCAATATTAATGAAGCAAGTTATGAAAAGGCATACCATTAAACACTCTTTGGAACAATGCCAAAGAGTTCTTCAAAATGAGGTTCTACAAATTTTACTATGAAGCCAGAAACAATGATCACCAAGGTTTCTTCAGACTATAAGAAGAAATTCTCAATAGTTGCTTTCAATACCTAATTGAACCAGGAAATGAAATCTACCTCCCAGTGTAATCATTTTGTACCTAAGTAGGAAGGCTAACCATACACTCCCAAACTGCAAAGCTGCCAGGTGAAACAAGTGACATTCCTTCACTTTCAAAGCTAGCCTTAGTGAAGACAAAGATCCAGACATGATATTTAGTTCATGACTGGTCTTTTCAAGATGGTAATTTAGTTACTAACCACCACCTAAACACTTACTATGCTGAGTTTACCAGAGGTTTATCTGAATTAATCACCAGCTGAGCAAAACACAAATCCACAGAAGCAAAGATGACTTGACTTGATAAAAGGAAAACAGCAGTATGCTTAACACAGAAAATGCTACAGTTCAAATCTAAATCCATAATCCTGGATGGTTATTCAGGGTACTGTGTATCTCAATTAGCATATTCCTGTTAAGTACACAGAGTACAACCAAAGCACCACATCCTTCCATTTTCCTTCCCTTGAATATTAAAATGGGGAAGAGCACTGTGAAACCTAAAAACTTGTTTCCAGTGTTTTAAACCCAAGTTTAGACTGTGTCTTGTGTACACTGCACTGCGCCAATCTACAGGATCAAGGTATCTATCTACTAAAATGTACCAATGAAATGGTAAAAACAACCAGGGCTGGTTAAACTGACTCCACAACAGACGTATACTTCTCTTTTTAAATCTATATAGGCTAAAATAGCAGGCAGGCTTCCTGAAGAAAGGGCTGGCAGCAGGGCTTGGGCAAAAGGACGTTCCTTTTTCTCTATAGTTTCTGTTTCTTGATTGAGACATACTTGCCTATCAGTCAGTATGGACTAACAGCAACTGACCAGAAACACCAAACTCTCTCAGTCAGTAGAGAGGAGCATTTCCCCCACATACTGTTTCTCTAGTGTGAACTGTGGACTATTATAAAACAAATGGCACTAGCAATACTCTTGGGGACTAGAAGAGTCCTATTAGCCTACCTTTCAAAACAGGTTTAAAAAGTTGTTACACCTTAGGGAACAAGGACACCGTCGATCACAACCCACCCCTCATCTTTAACGGCCTAAGGACGAAAAAGTACCCTGGTCTAGTAACTACTCCCACTTGAGCGCGCCTTCCATGTCCTCGCTTTTATTCTCCAAGGGCACGGGAGCCTCGCTCGCGCCCCATTTCCCCACCGCCATTTAAGGCACCAATTAAGTTGGAATTTCCGCCCGAGATGCCTCACGACGACGGCTTCCTCCTCGTGCCTGACACTGGGAGCCGGCAGCGAAGAGCGCCGACACGCCCTTGGCCGAGGCCTTCCGAGGGCCGCGCCTCGCGAGCCGAAAGGTCAGCCCGGTTCCGAGAAGCGAATAGGCGCCCGCCCCCCTCCGCGCGGCGGAAGGGAAGGCGCCGAGGCAGGGCCCCCTTTCGGCTGACGAGGCCTGCGAAGCCCTGGCGCTTGGACCGCGTGGGGGAGGCACCTCCTCTCCGCCACGAGGCCCCGCACCTTTAAGCGCCCTCCCACCCACCCCACACACAGAGAGCGCGCGGCGTGCGACGATCCGGCTCCCCCGAGTTGGCCAC